CAATCTGGGACCCACACTAGCCTCGGGGCGGCACTGGGTGGAAGAGCAGCCCGGACAGCTCCACGCATGTCGAACAAGGCTCCCCATGCTGCGGCCAGACACCCCGCGCTGCCCTGAGCGAGCAAGGCCAGCAGCAAGGCCGTCCTTGCCTTACTGCAGGGGCCCCAACCCGCAGGCCACGGACACGGGTCCCTGGCCTGTCAGGAACCGGGCAATGCAGCGGAGGGTAAGTGGCAGGCGAGTGAGCGAAGCGTCATCTGTGTCTGCAGCCGCCCCCAGTGCCAGCATCGCCGCCTCAGCTCCGCCTCGGACCACTGGGCACTGGATTCTCATAGGAGCACCGGTCCCCGGTGCCACAAAGGTTGGGGACGGCTGCCTTACTGGGCTCCCAGGGCCAGAGCCAGGACAGGTGAGCACAGGGAAACATAAGTGCCCTAGACGTGGCCGGCAGAGCCGCCCGCGACAGTCTGTTGAGCGAGAGACGCTGGCCTGGGAGGCGCCGTGCCCAGACGTACCCGCACGGATCGACTCCAACACGAACTCTGAACGCGGAAGGATTTTCGTGACTTCAATAAGAAAGCCCTATTTAAAGGTCTGGAAATATAAATTCTCTTTTCAATGTTTTTAAAGTAAAACAAGCATGAGAAAAAAAGTATGAAATAATACGTTTATTCAACTGTGTTTCATAAAGTTAACTTCTAGTTAAAATATTATAGAGAAAAAAGTAAGAAAGATGGACAGAATCTGTGCGGAGGACAGACGCTGGCGGAACGCATCGCCGACTGCCTGGCCAGTCACGGCGGAGGCCCCGGGCTCCCGAGCCCAGCGGGCGTGGCTAGGACAGGGCGGGGATGAAGTACTGCAGGGACACGTCCTCATGGAGCACGTCGAGATGCAGCACCTTGTCGCTCACGATACCTGGGTTGGGGGGGGACGGTCAGGGCCTCCACACACGTCTCCACCCCGAACCCGGCCGCCTCTCGCCCTGGCCCACCTGGTCGTCCGGCCCCTGGGGACATGCACGCCCTTTGCCTCCACCCACACAGCGGGCCCCGAGTGCTGGCCTCGGCACCTTTGAGCCCGGGAAAACCCAGACGCCTGACGGCCACACAGCAGACCATGTGCGACGCATGAGACCACAGGTGACCGAAGCATCTGAAGTGCGAAGAACAAGGCGAACGCGCACTCACTGCAGACGGCCTTGGTGGGGTTCGCCTGCTGCCCAGCGAGGAACTGCAGGAACTTCCTGATGTCCACGTGCACCTCGGCCATCTGCTCTGGGTTTCTGTCGCGAGACGCGTCCGCAGAGGCTGAAAGGACAGGAACATCTTCGCATGTCACAGGGCATCAGACAGCACAGTGACTGCTTCGGCAAATGACTTACGTCAGCCCTGACGCTGGCCTCCTGGAGAAACATCGCAAGGTGCACACGCGATCATTCGTTACGCAAGACGTCATTCAGTCCTGACTCTGAAACGCGCCAGCCTCCAGGGAGCCTGTCTACGGGGCCCTGAAACGGGGCTCGACGTCCCCTCTACGCCAAAGACGAAGGCCCCCCCCCCTCCCAGCACGCCGCAAATGCGTGAGGGCTGACGCGTGCGGTGACGAGCCGCCGCTCCTTCCAGGACAGAAAGAAAACGAACCCGTCGTGGGCCCCACCACCTCGCAGGGACGGCCGCTGATCACGTGGGAACAGTTCGTGTCTGTTCATCTAATTTTACGAGCGTCAAAGGGGCCAAAGCAGGAGAAAAAGAGACGTGTCTGCGTCCGACTGCATCCAGGTGGGGACAAAGCATTAGCAGTAGAGACAGGGTGTAGGGGCTGGGGGGCGCTGGGCAGTGCTTCCATGGGGACCCAGCGTTCCGGACCCTGTCCTGTCCCGTCGTCCCCCCGCCAGCAGGCACACCCTGTGCCCGGGAGGCTCACGTCCCCACCCTACCGTCCACCACACCCGCCCTCGGCTCTCTGGCCTCTCCTGGAGCTCGAACCACAGGGACTGATTTCAACTTCCTCCCATTTAGAGGCCTCAGCCAGGCGCGTCATCTGAAACAACTACGTTATCAGAAGCAAAACATAACCCACCACAAAACTTACCGAATGGAGGGTTTCCAAGGTCTTTAAAATGGGTCGTGACGCACACGAGTTCGGACTCTATTTTCAAGTTCAAGTCTCCATTTAGGTTTGCTTCAATAATCTGCAAATTGAGTATTTCACACAGTCTTAAAAAAGAAAAGGAAAATAAATAATAAAACCCCCAAACAAAAAAACGCCACGGACATCAACGTCCACCAAACCAGGTGACAAGGGAGCCCCACGCACCCCCACCCAGGACCCTTCTGGTGACACGAAGACCCACACAGCATCAGCGACAGAAAGAAGGGGCCGAGAAGCAGGAGCTCAGAAACCCCACGGGAGGAGACCCGAGTGCAGAATCCAGTCAGGAGAGCTGGACGCAGGTGGGGCTGGGGGCCGCCGGGGGACAGGGCCTGGCTCCCCCAGAACCGGCCCCCAGGTCACGCAAGGGAGGATGAGGGAGAGACGCCAGGACGTCCTGGGGAGGCGCATGCCCAGCAGTCTGTGCTCAGGACGCTGTGATGCTACCAACTCCCCGCCCCGCACCCCCCCGACCCCCACCAATGAAAACACCTCCTGCGAGACTGGTCGAACCCAAACCAAGATATTCTGAAAAAAGAGAAAAATTAGTGGCCAAAGCACATGTGGAGACATGAACGTGTGCACGGGGCACACGCCAGGGCTTATGGGCCCCAGAGGAGCCGCACAGGTGGGGGCACCGAGGCCCCGGGAGCAGCGCAGGAGCCCAGCGCGGGGCGCAGACACGCGCGGAGCAGGCCGCCTGCAGGGAGCGAGCTGCCGGGGCTCAGGCGGTGACTTGCCGCATGAGGGGGGACACCAGAAACGGAAAGCAAGAAGGAAGATGCGTACAGTGGGCAGAGGACACAGTAAGACAACGAGGCAGACAAACAAAACACAAGTCCCCAAACAGACGGAGAGGAAGGGACCCGGAGGGAAGTGACGGCGAGACCCAAGTCCTCGCGGAGCCCAGGGACACCGAGGCGGGGACCGTGAGCACTGACGCTGCGGAGGCCTGCCAGTTCGGACCGGCTGGGACCGCGCAGGCCGCGGGGGCACGCGGGGGCCGTCCACGCCTCCGCCACTAGCACGTCCAAGCCGCCCGCAGCGGGGCAGAGCCAGAATCGAACCAGCCCAGACAGCAGCGCCCCGCTGAAGACCACGGCACGAGGGCGGGACGCTGAGCCAAGGGGTCCACGCCCGGCCACCCTGACCCACGGACCCGCGACGCGAAGGCGATGCTCGTCCCGTGACCCCTCCCCCCACCCCGAGTGCTCCCTGGAGGACAGTGGGAAAGGTGTGTGAGCGTCACCTGTCCCCGGACAGCCTAAACCACACGGCAGGGCTGAGGGACGGCGCGTCCTGTCGTTGGGCTCTGAGGAGGCCGATGCCTCGCAAACACGCACAACGGGACCGAGGAGGACGAGCGGGAGGACGAGCAATGGCCAAACCTGCGGCAAGGACGACTCGTACGGCCATCGAGCCGCAGAGCCTCACGGGCCACCCAGGGGTCGGCAGGGCAGGTTCCGAATTCAGAAAGGTCAGGGGTGCTGTTGGGGCTCCAGGCCCCCCGCGGGCTGCGGTGTCACCGCTGCAGGCTTCCCAGCACCGCTGGGCTCATGACCTGCCCAGCGCCACCCAGATCCACGCTGCTGGCCCACGGCTCCCGGCCTTTCCCGCCCGCCACCTCCCCCGTGTCAGCTCCTACTGCACAAGTCCTGCGCCCATGACTTCAAGGGTCCCGGAGGGGCCCGTCCTTTCCAGCTGTGCCGTCCACCGCCGAAGGACCAACTCTAGAGAGGAGGCTCCGAGAAGGACGTGCCACGGCATGGCTGCGGTCCCGCACCTGGCCACACGCACCCCGCTTCTCCCGTGTTGGCACCTGCCCGTTCCCGCCACCTGGCAGGTCTCTGGAGAGCCCGTGTGGTGGTGTGCCAGCCAGCACTCTGCCCAGCAGATAGCACGAGACGGCCACCGGCCCCTGGGGAGGTACAGGCAGCCACCTCCTCTGGAGGGGCCGTCCCAAAGGGACAGCGCCAGAGACGGCCCGGGGGTGAGTGGACGCCTGATCTGCTCACTCCGCCGTCTGCACAGAGTGAACACACGTGAGTGTCCCTCTTTGTTCCTTAAGAATGTGGACGCTGAATCTGAACATTTCTCATTCTAGAACCAAACCCCAACGTTTACCTCGCGTGAGCTCTTATCTCTTGGGCTTCTGACGTTAACAAAAATCGGCCCTCCAGACGGCCTCGACGCACGATCCAGCGGGTGACCCCTGGACGGGACACGCTGGTGCCGGCCCTGTCCTCTCACTGCCCAGGAGCGCAGCGCTGTAGCTCTCAGGGGGCTGGGGGCTGGGGCCTGGGCTCCCGCGCACAAAGCAGCCCTGTGAGCGCTCCGGACCCTGCCTCGGGCTCTGCCGCACAGCAGCACGCCCTCGACGCCGGCCGCAAGCGCTTGCCGCTCTGACAAACGACGGTTTCCCGTGAGCACTGAGTGGGGAGCAGCCGGCAAAGGCCGGGTCAGTTCGGGCTCAGGCGCACGCGTGCTCTCCCGACGCCGGGAACCGCCACCCCGCACGTGGCAGATGGGACCTCTGCGGCCGCACGCAGTGCCCGGCGCCCGGGCGCCACTTTGCGCCCACGCCGACCCTCCCGCAGGGCTCCGGGCACGGTCACTCCCCTCAGCGACTTCCCGGAACAGTCAGCGTCCGCTCAGGCAGCCGTGGCAGACGCGCTACGCACCCAGTTACCTTCATCTGCAAACACTAAGCTCCGTGACAGCGGTGTCACCATCCCCACTCCAGGCGGCACCGCTGCCAGGGCACAGGGCCGAGCAGTGTGTCTGAGGACTCGCCTCTGCCACCCCTAACCCCGGACTCCCTGGTTTTACCCACTCGGCAGATGCGTGCACGTCCCCACACTGATGTCTAAGGGGTAACACCACACAGCTCCTCCCACAAAGCACTGCTACGCGACGTGGCCCCAACACAGGCAGCGTCAGCGCCCCGGGCGCCCGGCACACCCTCAGTCAACCCCAGCCCAACCCTCTGAACTGGATCCGCACTTTGACGTAACGAGGCTTCAGGGGAGTCCGTGCACGTCAGAGTTCCAGAAGCGACGCCCTGACACGTGGAGCAGAGCCCTGGCAGGCGGGCTCGTCTGTCCTCTCCCACCCGAGTCACAGCCTGTCCCTGTGGCCACATCTCCCGTGAAGGAAGGAAGGACTGGACGCGGCCTCGGCGGGGGCGGCCTGAGCGTCTCTGATGGAACAGGCGTTTTTCACGTGCTGGGTCCCACTCATCTCCCTTCACTGACAGTCTGTCTCCAGACAGAATCCTGGCCACCCAGCAGGTGGCATCACACGCGGCTACCCTCACTGTCCCCACGCCTAACAGCTCTCCATCTGTGGGCCACAAGGCAGTAGCCACGCAACAAAATTTTTGTTTGTTTTTTAAACACTCCAGAGAATAACACCTCTGGTGATTTTCTCCATCTACTTTGCTGACTCACGTCCCTTGGACAGAAAGAACAACAACCATGTCCCTAGGTTAATTGCCGTGCCTCTTCTCTCCTGGGCCTCCGAAGCTGTCTGGAGGCCCCCAGGGTGTGTCCCCAGAGGAACTTGCGGCCTGACAACTGGATCAACATGCGGCCGTCGTGGGCATGCCAATGCCAGCACAGCTCCCGATGCCTCTTAGGAAAGTGGCTGTCAGTTAAAATCTACAAGAGTAAGTCATGAAGGAAACAGCGTGCTCAGGGAGCACCGCTGTAGAGATAAAAAGGCCCAGAATCGTTTTCTCGGCTCAGAAAACCTTTGCAATGCCAAGGTCTCTTGAAGCTGAATTCCGTCCCAAGTCCAGCAGTAGGGACAGCACCTACTAACCGCCCAGGTGGCGGTCCCCCAGTGGGAGGCTCGACACAAAGCTGGCTGAGACAGAGCTCTCCAAGAAGCCGGCAGGTCAGCAGGGCCTGAGACAGTAGCAGGTGGCTGAACATGGGGCACCGACCCAAGTCAGCGGGAGCTCTGGGAGTCCCCGCCGACGGTGAGGCTCAGTGCTCCCGGGGAGGAGGGAGGAAGGGCCGAGACAGAACCTGGGAAGAACTGGTGTGTGGGGAAGGACAGCGGGTGAGGGTGTGGCTGTGTGACAGAGGACGCGGCCTGGCGGGGGGCGATGCTTCATCGGGCAGAACCTGGGAAGAACTGGTGTGTGGGGAAGGACAGCGGGTGAGGGTGTGGCTGTGTGACAGAGGACGCAGCCTGGCAGTGGGGCGATGCTTCATCGGGCAGACGGTGGTTTTTAGAAGATTCGGGGACATAATGGGGAGTGAAGGAAGAATTCAGAGAGCCCCAGGTGTGAGTGAGGACCGTCCACACAGGTCGCCCTCGCCGTCACGTGCTGTCATGTTCCACAACACTGCGGTGGACCGCCACATGAGCAAACAGAAAAGTGAACGTGCCCGTCTACTTGGCATGAGAACTGCTCAGGGTAAGACGGGGCAGGTGACAATCTCATCTTACGTTATTTAGGATCCAGTTTCCTTTTCTGACGCCAAGGTCTCTAAGTTTCTAGACTGTCAATTTATACTGCAGATTGTAGATAATGTAGGTAGACCTTATTCCGTCCGGGCTCACCAGGACACTTAAGTAAATAGGACACTCAGCTCACTGCCAATATCAGTGACTTGTAAAAAACATACACATAAACAAGTGAACTAAGCAACCTTCTGTCCAAAACATAAGGGACGGAAGCCAGAACTGTTACTGCTCGCACGCCGGAAATATGACACGAAGGCAAACACACAGCACTCCCAGTGAAGGCAGATCTGGGGAGCACCGGGACAGGTTCCTGAGGGCGCCTGGCCAACACCAGGCCGGCGAGGGGGCGTCGCGTGTGCTGAGCGTGGCCAGGGCGCCCTCGCCTGGGGCGGCCCAACGCAAGTAAGTCGGAGCGCCTTCCTCGAGGAGTGGCCACTTACCAGGTGGTTGCTGATGTTTTTCATTTTCTCCACCACGCTCTTCACGGTCTTCAAGACGGGCAAATAAATACTCACCTACAAAACCAAGAGAAGACGCGAAGTATCGTGAGTTACGCAGTCACGTGCCGACAGGTGTGCTCACGGCCTAGGCGTGGAGTGTGTGTGAGCCTGAAAACGCTGGAGTTGTGTCAAACTGTCTGAATACGGGTCTTTCTAAATCATTAAAAGAAGGACCACGGCCCCGTGGGCACTTCCGGTTCCAGGACCGCAGCCCTCCAGCTAGAGGCCCCGTGCGCACCCAAGAGGACTGAGGTCCGGCACTAGCCAGAGGCCGTCCCTGAGGGACGCACTCCGAGGCTCAGGCCTCACCACCCCGCAAAAGCACCACCAAGAAGTCCCCGCACTATGCTCAGGCCGGGTCTCAACATGCTGGACACGGCGCTGCCCTCCCCAGGCGGTGCAGGTGTCTCCCCGTAAAATCCCTCCCACGATCACGTCAACAGTGTGGGCAAACGGCGAAGGCCGCGGGGCACCATCCTCCCAGTCGCCCCGGGATTCCCGTCAGCAGGACTGTACGCACGCCCTGGACGTCACTCCTCACGGGACGAGGAAGCATCGAGTTGTGAAACTGACAGTGGTGCCCAAGGCTGTCGCCCCGCTAGAAATGGGGGCTCCCCAGAGTGCCGCCTTGGGGCACACACTGGGCCAGACAGTCTCTCCCTCCTGCAGCACCTGGCTTTGCTGCTACTACATGCAGCGCTGCTCGAAGACCTTTATGTAAACAGAAGGCAAATATTCCATTTTTTCTCCCGAACTACCCTTTAAAAACGAGCGTTACTGTTAAACAGCATTCACTGCGAGATTACAGCGAAAACGGGGGAACTCGAATCACACTGCTTATTTCTCGACGAGCAAGAGGGCTCCGGGCATCACTCACATCAGAGTCCGGGACCACCGGCTCCTGTAAATCCTTCCACAGCTTCCGAGGGATGACCTTTATAGGGATGTCGTGGGTCACCACGCGGCTGCTGCTCGACACAGACAGCTGCCAAGAGAAAAATTAAAACGTACTTTTACAACGTCAATATTAAAATAATAAGAACCAGAAGAACCGAAGGACAAAAAGTGCAAAAGCTAAAACGTCAATTCTTAGTGGAATGTTCTCAGCTCACTCATCCAGAGCCATTCAGCAGACACTCAGGCTCCCGGCTGCCAGCGGCCGGGAATCGTGCTGAACAAAACAACGCTCTCAGGTCTGAGGACCCGACTCCAATGGAAAACAACGGTTCATGTGCCACGACCTTCGCTTTAATAAAACTGGCTTTCTGCACGTTAAAAGGTCCAGGCTTATGGCCACTTCTGTTCCCCTGAGGAGTCTGGGGACCGCTGCCCCCCCACTCACCAGCTCTATGGAGACTGTGAGGCAGGGAAAGTGCTTATTGGTCAGCTTGATTTTCAAGGCTCTGGCATTCTGGGCAGTTTTCAAGGCTCGAGATAGATTTTCCGATGTCAGCTCTAAATAAATCTCATTGTTTTCTGCTGAGACACCTTCCATTTGAAATTCGCTGAAGAAGTTCTCCTAAGGGAAGGAGCGGGGCGGGCGCGTGAGCGGGCTCCGAGGGCGCTGGGGGCACTGACGCGCGGCCCGCCGGGGCGCCGCTCACCTGCTCCAGCTCACACCACATGCTCACCCCTCCGCTGGCCACCTTGTCGGCGAGGATGAAGTTCAGCTGCCGCGGGCTGATGCGGACTGTGCAGGTTTTGGCCAGCTTGGCCACCATGCTGCTGACTCCTGTGGCGGGGGTCAAGGTCAGGAACCACCGAGACGCGCCCCGAGGCCACCGGGAAGCACCTTGGCAGCGCCGACGTCACCCCAGCCTCCCGACAGCCCGGCAGGCGCCGCACGCAGCGGGCGGGAGGAGGGAAGAAGGACC